CATATTCAAAATCTTCTTCTTGTCGATCACGATGTAAATAGGCCCATAGACGCCATTTCTTCTCAAAGTTTACGCACGGATCATTTTCATAGTGCAAACGGTCCAAAGCTCCACTAACAACTTGGTTAACTTGCAAATCTGAGATGTCCTCAACAATGAACTGAGAGTCCCTTACCAAAACACAGATATCAGCTCTGGTTCCAACGCCTCCAGGCAATCTAGCAGCTGCATCTCTTACCAAACAAAGGACAGTAAAATGAGGTGGTCGATTGTGCTTAAGAATATGGTGATCACGAACCTTTGTTGATGGTTTTCGGCTACAACTTTTCAGAGGTGCAACGACAGACCTCTGACCATCAAGGGCTGTATATGAGAAAGCCCTGTCAGGTACTGTGTACCTTAGAGTTTCTTCTCGACAGAAATAAGCTCTTACTTCCTCACAGCAGGGACTTATGGTCCTAAGACTTTTCACAGCTCTCGATTCCCGTAACCTTTCACTAAAGTTGATATGTTGCATCAATTCCTGTGGTGGTTTCGGAAGAATACCAATTTTTAGTTGCATCTCTTGCCCTTCTTTCAACCAGTAAGCAAACGAATCAACCAATTTCACGAGAGTTTTGCGTGGAAGACCCCAAGCCTGAGGAGATGTTTCTGCCTCAATATGGTCAATATGCAGTATAGAGGAAGGGAGTGGACCAATCCATGACCAACTTTTGCTATGCCTTTCATAAACTACAAGTGCCTTTCGTGATTTTGCTCCGGTTGATATTGTTCTTGATGAGAACACTTTGAGAACTCCATTGACTAAATCCTGAAGTGGCTCTTTGGCTTCAAGAATACGAAAGTCACGAGGATTCAATCTCACACGCTCCACAATTTCAGGTGTAGTAAGAGAAGGTAAGTTCTTCCAGACAAATCCTTTCAATCCAGAGAAACATCCACCACGCTTCTCAATCCAACTGACACCTTCAGAATGCTTTCTTTGTTTCTTCTTGTTGGTTTCAACATACTTGCCAAAAATGAGGCTATTGTTTTTTCCAAGTGGTGTAATTAAAGCAATTCGAACAGCATAGAGAAGATGTATAATGGAAAATGAGGATGTATCAGGGATAGTGGGGACAATACAAGTTGACTGCAGCATCTTTGCTGGTTTAATACTAGGATTTATCCGGTCCCTGAAAGCACCAGTCTCATCCTCCATTTCCTGCAATTTTTGTTCCCTCCATTATCAACTTTATTCACCAATTATAAACTTAGAATATGTTCAGTTCAAAAGATTATGATCATCTGATTTAAAAGGCTTCTGAAGCTTCTTTTCAATCCATTGCAACTATAATTGTCATCAAATATTGAAGTAAAGCATTATGATCAATAATAGAACAAACCTTAGCTTTCTGCAGATTTCTTGTGCATGATCTACTTGTTAAATTAAGATGTTCTGACGTTTCAAGTGAATGGATTGTCCTCTTTCTACTTTTTCTCTCTACAATAGTAGCTCTTGCAGATTGCAAGTCTAATTTTTTCGCATTTTCTATCTTCATCAGCTTGTCTGTTCCGTATCGGCAGCCACCTTTCTGGCTGTTTTTAGTTAATCTGTTAGCTGATAATTTAACCACTCCATGTTTAACATGACGAGACGGGAACTCCTTTGCAAAATAGCCTTTCACTTTCGCCATTTGTACCAGAATATTTGCTGCGCGAATATCTCTCTTGTCAGGCATGTCATCAGATGTCTTTTTGGTCAAGTTTTTGCATCTCATGAACTTCATTTTCTAAATATACTGACAAAAAAAAAAAAAAGCAAACTCCAAAATCAGCTTAAACACCCGATACTTGTAATATCTATCAATGTCTAAGTACACAATGTGGAGGTGTAAGAAGATTTCTTATCAGAAGCATAAAACATATGCTAATATACAGAATCTGTTTCCTTTCTCTCCTTGCAGGTAGTGGCGGGGCCACATTCAACCAAGGGATGTCAATCGACATCCCTTCGCCGGAAAATAACACAATATTGCTAGATAATTTTTTAATTTTCTGTATATTTACTATGCGTTGATGACTTTTCGATGTATCTACCTTTTTTATATTTTGGCACCCCTTGGTGGAAATTATGACGCCACTACTTGCAGGTAAAACTTGTGCTTTATATTTTCACCAGCAATAACATGTAATTAGTTTTGCAGTTACGATGATATCCATAATTGCATAGCTTTCAATGCGCTACAGTACTATTCAGTGTTTTTAAAAGTGAGAAGCGACAATTCATGGAGCTTAAAACGAAAAGCTACAAATGAAATGCACGCTTCTAATTTGAAGTGAAGCGCACAAATTACGGAAAATAAAAAATACCTAACATATATGAATTTGGTACTACAACAATCAAATTGTAATTGAAAAAAATAACTAATTTTAGCTTCCAATTTACTATATGGTGATATTAATCCATTCAAGTAATCCGCTTCTGTTTAGGATAATTTTTCGTGTCATTGTTTAAAATACAAACTTCTCTGAAGCACATTGCTTTCCCTATGAAGCGAGAACCCCTTCATCGCGATGGCTTTTAACAACATGACTATTCATAAAGTCCAAATCTTTTATTTTTTTAAAAGCAAATGATCATAGTCTCAATATAAGTACATTTATAATCTAACTTTAGGTTCCTCTTAAACCAAAAAAACAAGTTCCAAACCTATTCTTAATCTCTGTCAGTCTAAGTTAGCATATCAAAATTGGGAGTATATGTCATTATTCTACACATCCCTATAAAGAACCCTTACATGCATACATAAACATGCTATAAATGTGTGTCAGTGTACCACATTAAGCTTTAGACTGGGCAGGTGTAAGAGAAAATAAAACAAAAATACAAAATAGTGCTAACCTCACCTTCAGTAACTTGTTAATGGGACGTCTTTTTTGGGATGATCAGTGATGGTATCGACGCTTCAACATTCAAAGGTACCACATTTTGCTGCAGGAATTTGTGAACAAAAATTAGTCGTGTTCTCTGCCTTTTTTGGATTGGGAAAATCGTATAAATTTTCCTTTTTGATTTTTGACTGTTAGAATATCTGAAAATCAAATACTTATAAAAAAGAAAAAGCAGAGGGAAAGAAGAATACAGAGAAACTACAAGAAGCTATGGAGAGAAAGAGAGTAGAGAGGCAGAGTGAACAAGAAAGGAAGAAAACGAAGCGTTTTCCTTTGTTAAAAAGGCAAGGAAAGAAAAAGGAACACGATGCTGACGTGGAATAATTTGAGTCGTTAGATTATGTAGTCGTGGAAATCAGATACATATAATAGTGTGTGTGTTTTTGTTATTCCTTTTTTCTTTATCTTTTTTTTTTTTTTTAAGAAATTATAGAAATTAAAAGGGCCAGAATAGTAGTAGTATTAATTAGGAGGGAAGTGGAATTTAGTTGCTTTTCTAGATTAGGCTAAAGAAGATTTTCATCTTATCTCCTCTCTAAAACCTCCCTATAAAATCTTGAAATCAAAGTACAAGGATCGATGTATCTAAGGGTTGGGATAAAATTGTGCAATTTTAGAAGCTACATAAAAAATATTACAAATCTTTAAAATGATAATAGATAGATTATTTTGATCATTTTAAATATTTTCTATTATAGAATTGTGATTCGTAATCTCCTATTATAGTTAATAGAAATGGACTCTGATCTTGACTCCAGCGAGCAGCATTATACCAAACCCACTGACCTCTTTGTTGCACATGACTTTATGTTTATTTTAGATTTTATATGATCTTTCTTTTGGCGCTTCATTTCAGTTTGTTTATACAACTACGAATGAGAATATCAAACTGAAAAACATGTTCATATTTCTTTTTCTCCTCAGTAAATTACAATTTACACGATGTATCATTCTCAAAACATGAATTAACGGGGTACGATACTACCTCTTTTTCAAAGTAAAAAGAATTGGCGTATTTTTTTTTCTATTCCCACAGTACCCCTGAAAAATATTGTTTGAGGTGGTAAGAAATTTAAAAACAGATAAATAGTTATATAAAATAAAAATATATCAAAATTTACCTACTTATAAATAAATAATTAAAAAATTAAGAGGATCTTGCATTTCTGTACAAAGGTAGGCAAGACATAAAGAAAAACAAAGAAAAAAAACAAGTACTAACACTAAAGAATACAAATATATCAATTCTTTTGAAAGACTTAAACTTTTCCGCTTGTCTTCAATTTTAATTTTTATGTTTTACTCTTATAGTAATTATTTAAATAACAATGTAGCAATTTTGAAACACCATAAATGAAATATAAACAAAATAAACAAACAATTTAAAACTAAAACAATAAATAAGTAAATAAAAACAACTGATCTAAACTTCATGTACAACAAAGAAGAAGAAGAAGAAAAATAAGAGTACACAACTTTATAAATTACAAAAGAATTTAAACTAAGTAAAGAAGTACTATTTGAAAATTATAAATATATAAAATCTAATATTATAAAAATTCCAATATAATTTTCATTTCTCATATATTCACTAGGAATCTAGATTCTAGACTAAACTTGTCTGTATTAATGTTGTGACGCACACTTCGCGACTTCAACGAAAACGAGAACAACGCATGTAAAAGAGAATATGCTGCCTTGAACCCACAATACCGCTAAGCTACGCCTCATATTTGTAACAAGCGGGATCATTTTTGTTCATATACAAAAATTCTGAATGAATTTATACATGTAAATAGTAAATTTTTTCAGCGAAGCTGTTTCAGTTAAACCCCCCTTAATCCTACCTAGGTCCGCCCCTGTCAGAAACAACTTTCCAAGAGACCTCTGACGACTAGAAAAATTAGCTAAATGCACTAAGCAATGGCTATTAGAGCGCCAAAATCCAACAAGCAGTAAAAATAAGAAACAGCAATAGGCATGAAGTCATGCATAAGCATTACTGCAGCACAGACATTGGCATTCCGTGGAACTTGAACAACCTGCAGGAGTTTGTAGATCAAAAGTGTCACAACAGAGAGTCTATAAACCAATTTCAACCATTTATATAGAACTATCTAAGTCGTCTGTCATTAAAATTCATAACTTCAGTAAGCAGAGGCTTCCTCACATACTCGATGTAAGAAGCATGGGCATGAAGCGTGTGAGCCAGGGGTATCCATTACGTACCATTACATTGATGCAAGATCTCTATGATTCTACGCCTAATAAAACTAACTCTTGGCACATCCGGCTACAAAGGAAATGCCATTGGAAGTGCTTTTGGAGGCCCAACCGATGAAGCAGATGGAAAGGTCAATATCTCATTAGGCCTTCGCAATTTACAATGGTATCCTTTGGTAGAGAAGATAGTTGCAAAGATCTCCTCATGGACAGCAAAGAAACTGTCATATGCTGGAAGAGTTCAACCGGTTCAAACTGTGTTGTTTGGCATTCAGTCTTACTGGTCTTTATTCAGTAATCAGTATACAACCACCGAAGTCCATCATGAGCAATCATAAATTTCAGATATTATTTCCGTCCCTGCAGAACCATACACTACCAAGAAAGAAATATTGAATAAAGAACCTTTGGTTAGTGGGAGAGATGAACAGGCAATATGAGATATCAATAACAAGTCCAGATTGCCACAATGACTGCTAGCGCTAGAGGGATCCTTCATATTCTCTGCCTGAAAACTCTCTATGGGTTACTTTTCTCCGAGGAGGTTTCTGCCAACGCTTTGACCAGAAATAACAAAGGCAACTATGCAACTTTCCAGAAACCTAAGCTCTAAAAATAATGAACTCTGGAGATGACGAAACCAAGCAAATTGGGAACCAATTCTTCACTTGATACACAACCAAGAATTTGCAAAAATGATGTCTTCAGACTAATATAGACGAGACTGAATGAATGTGCTAAATGAAGTCAATATAACTTCAGAGATCCTCAATTCACCAGACTATACCTAACTACCATTCTCTACATGAAGTTTCAGAATTCTCATGGCATGCTCATGAAGTTGGAAAATATGCTGTTCTATCCAGGAGCAAAAACATACCATGCCACATTTGACATGCCGGGAGTTTCACACAACTTCAAGAAATAACGTTTTTCTACACTGTCTTTTTCATTTTTAAGCCTTGATTTCTAGTTCCACCCCCAGATTTTCCAGACTTCTGAGTAGATCTCTGCTTCCTCTTAATGATCTTTGAGGCTAATGTTTTCAATGGAATAGTAATGTCCAAAGGCCGAAGAATTTGTTCCAACTCATGCCACTCAAGATCTTCGAAATCGCCATCTTCATACTTCACCCTGAACCAACCAACTTCCTCATCAAATTCAGTAACTTTCCCAAAGTAATACTTGTCCCCAAACAACTTGCGAACTTCTCTTCCTTCAAGCCATTGACCAAAACCAGAATTCTTACGTGGTTCTGCATCAGTAACTGTTGGGCAAGGAAAAACGGTGTCAACACTTGAAGAAATGGGAGGTAACCCATTAATAACGACAGCCGGCTCTCCAGGTAACTCAAATACTCCAGGTGATAAGGACTCCTCAGCATCACATTCTTTGCATGTAAAATCCATTTCCAGCAATCCTTCTAATCAACCCTATAAATAGGTAATCAAGTATTTTCTGTAATTAAAAGAAATGTCCAATTAGATTCAACCACTAATCTCAACATTTAGCAATTCAAATATTTGTCAAAGCAAAAAACAGAGAAAATAAAATAAGTTTACCTCAAGGGTGCAGCCTAGTGGTCACGATTGAGAACCACTAGGTCTCAGGTTCACATCCCAGCAAAGACAGAATCACAACACAGCGATTAACATTTAATTTTTTATTTTTTATTTTTTATTTTTTGTGGCTTTTCTTTACTTCCCCATTTATAGGGAGACAACAACAACAACAACAACAACATAATCCCACTTAGTGGGGTCTGGGGAGGGTAGTGTGTACGCAGACCTTACCCCTACCCTGAGTTAGGGAGGTTATTTCCAAATAGACCCTCGGCATCCTTCCCTCCAAGAACTTCCCACCTTGCTCTTGGGAGACTCGAACTCACAACCTCTCGGAGGGAGAAATGTAAAAATATTAAAATTAAAAGACAGATTGAGTAGTTCAATTAACTCAACGATCAGTGCTATATCACAATTTTGAAGCAGTTAATTGCACCGGGAAAAAATACAAATACAAGTTAACTAGTGGAAATTACAAAATTATGAGAAATTGGACTCATTTTCTTTATGCGGATCCAAAGCAAAGAACTTTAACTAAAATGATAATTCGTACTCCACGGTTAGAATTCATAGGGAAAGGGGTTTAGGGTTTTTGTTTCATGAGAGAAAGAGAAATTGGAGAGTAGACAGTTAAAACGAGAGAAAGGAGGGAACTTACAATTCAATTTCACCAGCGACGGCGGCGCGAGAGAGAGAGAGACAGGGGAAGTGTTCGCCGCAGAAAGAGATGGAGAGGAGAAGGTTTGAGTTTTGACGCCGGAGAGCTATTTCGAGGGCGGCGGGCCAAAAATCAACCGGGATTTAGGTCCCAGTTTGTAGCCAAAACTGTCCCCTATCTATGGGGGTTAGGTCTAGTTTTATCCTTTACACTCTATTTACATCATTGTTCCCCATTCATTTTATAATGTATTGTATTATATTGTATTGTATCGTATTGTTTTATGGATATAATGTTTGGATAGATTGAATTATTTATTATTGTTAAATAATATTTTGCTGTTTGGTTGACTGTATCGTAACTGATAAGTTTACTAAAATACCCTTAATGTTTAAATATTAAATTTATCAAAAATTATGCATAAAAATAATTTTAAAAAATAAACCTTAAGAAAGCAGAACAAAGGAGCGAGACAGAAGAATGCAAAACAAAGGAGCACAACTAATTAGAATTGAGTTAAAAGCAAATTAGGAGAAAAAATAAAACAGAAGGCGTCTAAACACCTTTAACAGTGGCGGCAGAAGTTCTGAAAGAAAACAAAGTAGGTCATAGGTTGGAGAGTTAGAGTTAAAATAAGTTAGGGCATAATTGTAAAAAAAATAGGAAACAATCCCACCACATCAAATCGATTATTTAAAAAAAGGGGACTTTTCATTGTTCCGGAACGATGGATTTAACAATACAATACAATCAATTTTAATGAAACAATCAAAACAAATATTGTTTTGAGAAAACAATACAATACGATACAACGGGGAACAACCATCCAAACAAGCTGTTAAGTATGCTCTTAATCATCTTTAATCCTTTAGTTTACCAAAGTAGAGCACCTTTTAGTCCAACTAACAACTTGACAAACTTAGGATTAAAACATTAACCACACTTTTTTAGTTTTTTCGTTCAAAAGAGTCTAAGCTATTTGAATTTAATAAGGTGTAATAGAAGCAGAGCACCCTACTCTGCTAGTGGACCCCTAGTGCTATTTGTGCTAGTGTGTGTACATCAATAATACTAAATTATATTAAAAGGGCAGCATGATGCACAAAGTATTTCATGTTTACGCAGGGTTCGGGAAAGTACTATACTCCGAGTGGTGTGATGTAGACAACATATCCTAATGCAAGTATTAGTGACGGCTTACCGCTTAAACCCGTGACTTATATGCCACACAGAGACAATTTTATCGTTGATACAGGCCGCCTCCCCTTCAATAATATATCATATTGCTTGTTCAAAAAAAAACTCTATTACATTATATTACATGGTTGAAGAAAATTAAGAAGTTTAATGGGATATTTGGAAATTTTGCTCGGTTTGATGAGAGAAAGACGGTTATATAATGTTGCCAGAGGTGGATTTAGGATTGAACTTTATGAGTTCAGATTCGTTACTCTACCACATCTTATCTAACTTAATGAGTTCAAAATTTATTATTTATACGTATTTAGTAATTTTTTTTGGCAAAAGTACGGGATATGAGCAAAAGCTATAAATTCAGTTGAATCCATAACTTCAACACTGGATACGCATCTGAATGTTGGGTGAACTTGACGAGGAAATTAGCATTAGATAAATCTTCTGGTGTAAGCAAGATGTGAGTTTCATGCAAATTATAAAGGTTGTGATTGCATCTTCAGAAAAATCAGATCCCTTATCTTTTTATAAGAAAATACATAGAACGTGTTATAAATAGAATTGTATTTAAAGTGAATGTCTATATCTTAGGGAGATTTTAGAGATTATTACTTCGTGGTTAAGTCACTCTTTCCCTATAAATAGAGGGGTTCTATTCCATTGTAATTGATCCCAAAAGCAATAAGAATTCTCTCTCTACTTTTCTTTGTAATACTCTTTTTCTTTTATTGTTTTATAACACGTTATCAACACGAAACTCTAACCAATTGAGTAGAGGCATCTGCTTTGGTCACCAGGCTTTGGGATATGTGCATGAGGCTCAACTTTTACATAATATTGAGCATAACGATTGTCAATTGATACATGAACTTCTTCAGGAATAAATTATGGATTTAAGGTAAGTATTTTACCTTATTTTTCTCTTTTAAATTCTTAGAATTCTATAATTTGATTTTAAATACAAGTAAAGACAATAAATTTTGATTATAACTCTAATAGAGTTTGTGAGAAATTATAACTACCCGAAGTGGTAAAATTTCTATGTCTTTCCTGATCAAATTCATGTATGATTATGGGCACAAGAAGTGAAAACCCGTCCAATTGAATTTGCTTCATTTTCATTCCCTTAAAGAGAATGTGATAGCAATATGTGATAAGTCTGAAAAAAGATAAAATTATTACCGTGAAGGTAATAACAGATGTGGACGTGGCAATAGACGAAATTATAATCGTCATCATTGTGGTAATGAGAACAATAAGGATTCTCAAAATAATCCTTCGCCATGTGAAAGTAATATTTATCATCAATTTGACATGAGATTTTGTAAAGCACAAATAGATTACTGTTGTCCATTCATGATGTGAATGTGACAACATGTGATTTATGAATACATATTCATTATTGGAAGAACATGAACATGCTAGTGGTAGTGAATATACCACACTCACTTCTAGAAGGAGGTTTGAGATGATATAAGAAAATAATGTCATTATTATGACATGAATAGTCATTGGTCACTTATCTATTGTACGCTAAAATATTTTGATAATGTGATTATTAAAGGATAACAGTAATACAAGAAACAGATCTTGCATATAATTTTGACCATGACCATAATGATATAACTTTCTCTTTAAAAGAGATATTCACCATATGGATGTTGATGGATATGTTGTAATATCAAATTAATTGAGAGCTCAGGAATAGCCAATTATTACTGTTTTGGAGGAATAAATTAATTATCAATAAGGCATTGTGTTGTAGTAAGTCTCAAAGAATATTTATTGAGTTTCTAAAGTATTCGCGAAAGCAGTTAGTTAAATTAAGATTATAAATAAAGGAAAGATTTAATATCTTCTGTTACTACAACTTGTAGCGGGATAATATGAAAGGCTACCTGCTTTATTCTCCAGTTTGTACTACACAAATAAAAGAATGCCACAATAAAGTAAAAGTTTATTGATATAAAAACACATATCATAATAAACTTAGAGTTTATTCATAATTGCACACGTCATGGTGTAAACCTAAAGTTTAATAATATTGATAATTTATCCAGTTGGTATAATTGGTTTAGCCATATTAATTTAAGTATGATGTGCAAAAATAAAAGAAAATTCACATGGGTAAATATTAAAGAACTAGAAAGTTCTTTGCGAAATCTCTTATGTTGCTTGTTCTCATTAATTAATATACCAACTAAAATTAGGATTGAATCCCATGAATGCTGGAAATATCAAAGGTGAATATGGCTTCATCTGCTATGTATACTACATAAGATGCATCTATGGGATGGCTACATGTGCGATTATTATTAACCCGCAACCTGATGTTTGCGAGGTAACTTGCTCAATAATTTAACTTCGAGCATAATTTCCGAATTTTCTATTCAAGACAATCCATCTTGATAAGTTGGTTTACATCATAGCCAGTTTAGGAAAATAATTTATTGAGTACCTCCACGTAATAGTTAAACTATTTCTTATGAGAACAAGTTATCTATATGAGTTTGATATATGTTATATACGAAAGTGTATTACATTCTCCCCTTACAAGTGGTTTATGGTCGAGAACCAAATAACTCCATCTTATTATTATTATTATTATTATTATTATTATTATTATTATTATTATTATTATTATTATTATTATTATTATTATTAATGTGCGGTGTATATTTTGATTAACACCATAACGCACAAAGATGGATTTTAAAAGTTGAGGATGCAAGTTGGTTTTTCTAACATGAGTGGGAGACATGATAGACAGTTGAGAAAAGTTACGTGGAATGAATTATCATTTATACCTCTAGACCCTCGAAGATAATATGAACTTGAAGTTCATAAAAAGATAATTCATCTGCAATATATTGCAAAGCATGCCAGATGCTTTTGCTGACCCAAAGAAAGTAACTAAATTCTCACTGCAAATGCTCCTATCAGAATAAGTCCTAGAAGGACAAAGTCTATGGTACGCTTAAATGTATAGACAAATCGGTTTCGAATAAACTTCTTGATAAAGAAGATGAGCAAATGATCATAATAAGGAGGCAAGTAATCTAGAAGATCACATGACATAACATTTCATAAAATCACGGGAGAGGTTCAGGTACCTGAAAATATGAATGAAGAGATCTCTATGTTATGTCTTTATGAAAAATGTTGAAACCGATACAAAATGGTTGTCGACTACATCTATGATAATGCTATATATTTTTGAGGATCTTAAGTCTGGAGAAACAATTTCGAATAGAATTGGTTTCATATGAAAGACATGTAGTTTTGAACATGTAGTTCAAATACTTGAAAGTATAAAGTCAATGGTATGTGCAATCAGTTTTCGATATCTTATTTGTCTATCATGACATGAAAACTTGATATGCATCTAATTAAAGTCTATTATGTGACTTATATGACTTTACTTATATGACAATCCTTGAAGGATTTTGATCGCTTAAAGCATATAGAATTCTTGGTCATGAAGTACTACATCCTAAGTGCGATTTGTGCACATATATATCTTGCTATAACTATAAGCATGATAATGTGATAGCGAGAAATTTTTACTCCTATGAAGATATTGAAAAGCACATTCCATGGGATTGTATGAAGATATTATATATCTATCAAGAATGATGATTTCAAGGTGCAACATATTCATTCAAGTTAATATGGCTGATTTGTTTATTAAATCTCTACCAACGATATTCTGAAGATGGCGCACGAGATTGGGATGCGAAGGCTCAAAGATGTGAATTGATGCTTGATGATAGGCTATAATTACGTATTTTAGTCGATTATTACATTCCAATTTACTGCACTTTAATTGAGTTTGAGCTTCAATCGCTAGTGTTTTGCACTAATGGTGTGTTATATGCCTTGTAGGAGTGATTTCGAGCTATGTAGATGTTATGGAATGAACTCAAGTGATTTGGAGCTTTGAAGTCTGAGTAAAAGCCTAAGGAATTAAGCCGGGATCGAGTTCGGGGATCAATGGATGAT